GCCTTGTGTTCCAGTGGAAACCCAAAGGAATAATAATATAGCTATAGCTGGTCACTAATCTACTTCAAATGGTGTGTGTGTATGTATAGTGCGGCTAGTATTTTGGATATTTGTTATTCATCTCAAGAAGAAAATAATAAGTGTGGATGTTTTTCAAATATTTTTTAGATTATAGACTCAACAGTTTCTTGGTGCTCCACATGCATTTCGAATAGTGAAAACTGAGATTCTATAAACAAACTTTGTTTATACTTGTGGTCTAGTAATCAAGCATGGTGAAGTGTAGTAACAAAACCTTCAATTGTTTACATGAATTCATTTAATGTCGTGTTTGAACTCAGGTATTGCATCTACACTAGGCTATGAGCCAAACTTGTTGTGTGGGGGTTGATGCTACACTACACATTTACCCAGGCTGATATTTATTTATTTAGACGCGAAAAAAACTTGGTACAATATGGCATCAAGAAGATGCGCCACACAATAATAATAAAACAACGTAGACTAAAAGTAAAAATATAAGTAGAGAACGGATAAAGAACTTCATCTCGAAGGAAAACAGTCATACTTAACAAGTTCAAACAGTATTCGTCAACTATCATCGGGAAGGGAAGAAAGAAGGAAATTGCAACACGTTCGCCATTGATAACTGCGATTCTTGGCCATATCCGATAACGTCTTGAGCCATCGATTCGAGCTATCTCTCGGACCCCAACTAGGGAGTCGTGACGCACCAACCGATGCTAATCTAGCACAAATATCCTTCATCCCACGACGCCACGTCATGGACTGACCACCCCTCCGCCTTTTCCATCTCGCCCCAAGGCTAGCGAACAGAGACCTGTACGGAAGCCTCTGGGATGACATTCGCAGCACCCAGGCTTTATGAGATGGGGGATTCGAACCTAGGACCCAGTGATTGAAAGCCAAGTACTTACACCAATAAACCATATTTCCACTGATTTTAACTAACGAACAATTTGAACTGGTAGGTACAATGTTCAAAATTACAAAGTGTGGACTCTGTGGATTTTTCTAAATTGATTCACTCATGTGAGTTGTACGTTGAATAAGACTAGCGTCGTTAAGGTGAACAACTTGGACAAAATTTAGCCTATTTCTAGAAGCAGAAATCTGAGATATTAAACAATCAATTATACAAATAACCGACCATTCATGAAGCTTGTTGTCCTATGGAACGTGTTCTAATATTAGCAGCTAAATCATCTTTCAAAAGTCCAGCGAAACTGAAAGGGTCTACATACAAAGCAACACTAACGTCTAGTACAATACTATCTAGATGTTTAAATATTGATAGGTGAAACTGCACTCATACCTGCGCACCAGCGGATTAACGCAGAGTGAGTCGAAGTCATCTATGTCATCAGACGCGCTACATATTTCGATTGTGGTTATATAGAGTATCTGATAAGTTGACTCACTGATAACAGAGTCCGGTTCATTTATCAGATCGTCACTGATATATTTAGATGCCGTGATACACTGTCTGCCCAGTAGGACAAAATTGGGCGAATGATAAGAATAGTGAAATTTTGGTAAATTTCGGGCATTAGTAGCAAAAATCTTGTCACATAACCAAAACTCGCCCATTTTCTTCTTATGTGCTATGCGCCCATTATTCACCCATCTTTGTCCGACTGGGTGTCTACTCATGATATCGCCGCTTCCTGTTTCCATAAATGTTTGGAAAGAGTTACAAAACGATGTCTGTCACAAAAGTTTAAGATCTAAGGTGGTTTGCACAAAGCATACTCTGCTTCATGATGAAGTTCGTTACTTTGGCGAAGACCTATTTGTATTTATTAATAGCTGAAACTGACGAACAGCATAAACGACCGTCCAGTATGCCTCATCCTCAATACAAATGGTTGAAGTCTATCTGTCTGGTTTCAACATAGAACTTTGCACTGGTGTACAGCGGTTGAAGTCGCCACAAAAGTCAGAGAGGAAAGTAAACAGAAACGCAAAATAGAGACAGTAAACAGAGATATAAGGCAAAAAGAATAGTAATAACGAAGAACAATATTGTTTCATTGGATATTATAAGTCACAAGGAGTGGATGCATCTGCGCCAGCCATCACCGAGAAAGACTTTGAGCCATATCACCGATTGTCTCCAGCTGCCTCTGGTGTTTACCGTCCCGAGGACCGCAACCAGTCAGGAAGTCTCCACCTCCCCATGTGACTGGCTTAAACGAACTGTTGTGGATTCCAGTGACTGATGAAGCCATGTTTTGGTTGGACCACCACTGGCTCTCTTCTAACCTGATCCATCCTATGTTAGTCAGCTAACATTGTCCGTCGTCGAGGAAGGCGGTGGTTACGCAGGCATGCGTAACACATGTCCCAACCATCTCAGTCGGTGTAACTTCACAACCCCGACGACTGAGTTCCCCTCCTTACTTAGCACTCGACCGAAGCCTAACCTCAATATTGCTCACTTAACACGGGAAATAGAAATTACTGAACTTAATCAGCTATGTTTTGCAAATACTCAATATTGTAAGACAAAAACGTAGCAAGTTGCAATTAAATGGCTTTCAGGCGTGAAACTGTCGAGAACTACCTTCTGCTGACCTTCCTGTCTTCTCTGAAATAACATACTCTAAGAGTTCACCTTTCCCGTGATTTATTTGCTTTAGTAAGTTATGCTACGCTGTTGTTTGCAAAAAGCATTCCAGTGACATACTTTTCATTACCTTACAACAAATTTATGAAAAGAATATGCTCACTAGTCCCCTGTTATTATCTAATGCACATTACCTAAACCAATTCAAATTTTGATTGTTTTCGACGCGCATTTATTCATTGGTTTATACTGTAAATTGTGACTCGCAAAGCATCAAAATACTAACCAGGAAAATCGCCAGCTATCTTGATAATCTAATACTCAAAATCTAGGAAATCCTTTGATTTTCTTTCATACGGCATAGTTTTGTGTCCCTATGTAACATACGCAATTTCTCGTTTCTACACGAATTATTGATCATGAAGTCAATAACATAACAGCATTCATCGGTCATGAAAAAGTTCTGAATGCGTGTATTCTGCATGAGGGAAATATTAATAGTTATAAAAAGTTTTTAAGAGCCCACAATGAAACTACTATTAGATAGTTAAACTGTAACTACAAGTTTCCCAACAATCGAAAATGAACTCGACCTTACCTTTGACGTTCAAAATACGATCATATCTCGTACAGTGATCCGAAGTTAATTCTTTACACACTGAACCATAGAAGCGATCACATTGTATTGATTGAAACCCCAAATGATAGTCAGTGGATCCTACTTTTCAACTCTACACTTTCATTTAATACAAAACAGTGAGTATTATTAGACATGGAGTAATCTCAGAATTTGCAGCTATACAGTGAGAAATACTAAACGCTGCGATGATCCACACTGGATGAAGTCGTATACTCGATCATGTCTTTATGTTAGTTCCTAATTACATTTAATTAGGTCCAGCTAACGTCAAGAGCTACTTGGAGAAATGAACACTAGTGATCTGAAAAAGTGCAGGGTCCTCCCTTACCAGTTATCTGAGGAAGATTTGCATAAGTGGTACTACTAAACTACGATTAAATAGTGTTCAGAAATACCTAAAACTTAATAAATATTAGAACAAGACATATAAGCGAACAATACTGTTTTCAATTAGATCTTCAGGCTTTACTCTAATTTACATAGACATATATAAAATTTTTAAACAATGACGGTGATTTTGGGAAAAAAAATAATAATATGGTAAATGTTTTGAACGAAATTAATAACAATGATTATAGTGATAACAAAATATTGATAAAGTTTATGCAGGTGATAAGAATAACAAAGATGGTATATGTATATAAGTGTATAAATAAATTGGGTCAAATCTTAAAAGGTGAAGTGGAACGATAATCAGAGTTTAAATAAATATTATAAAAGTACGAAGGAGGTGGAAAATAAGAAAGGGTGGGAGGGTTTTGAATACAGTTCACCTAGGCTAAGCAAGGGAGAGACAAAGGTAGAACAAACTTCTTTTGTATGCAAAGACTAGGATTGTTCTCTCGAATTCCCATAGCTTCGGCTAGGTGTAAAAGACGGTTTCTGATTCCATTCGAAAGACTCGATGGAATACGATAGATAACTTTGAAAGCACTATTTTTGTCCACTTGGTAACCGCTATCAATCAAATGAGCCAAAATAGAACTTCGTATGGATTTTATTTGACCTTTTCCGAACGATGAAGGAAGATGCTCATTAATGCGTTTGTTGAGCTGTCTAGTTGTTCGTCCTATATTGCTCTCTCCACAGGAGTAGCTAAATTTATAGATACACATCGAAGTGGCACAGCTAGGTAGTTTATTTTTCACTTGAGCAATCATAATTGGTCGGCAGCTGGAAAATAACAAACAAAGGGTGGCGGCAGTATAAGTCCGTTTCATCGCTCTCGATAATCTCAGATGTAAGACTTCACTAGCCACGTCCCCATTAAATTGCAGTTTCATGAACAGTTGTTTCTTTTTAAGTGTTGTCAGTTTTTCTTTATTGTACCTGGTATTCATGTATCTCCTTACTGAGTAAATATGAAAAGACGTATGCATACAAAGGGTTATACTAGGGTTCGCTAAATATGAGCATTTGACAAAAGACAACCACTTGGATATGACAGTGGTGTAGCTAGGTAGCAGAGGCCTAATTAATTAACTTGTAGCCTACGCCGTCAGTAAAATTCGCTGACTCAGAAAATAATAAAGGTCCTGTTTGTGAATTAGATAGCTGTGTAATAAAAACAGCCATATTATTGATGTAGGAATGCGAGACGTTTCCGGGACCCCACAGACAGATGCAGCACTACTTAGCGTAATACATGGCGTAACCAACCCGTCTTCCTGTAATCCCATATAATTTCCTGGCATTTTTGCATAGGCTTTAAGAAACAAGAAAATCTTGTCGAGTGAGCAATACGCCTAAGCAATTAACCCGAACTCCATATAGCTCATTAAAATTATATTATATAAAATCAAGGATGAAAAATTTAGACAATAAAATCAAGCACAAAAGTCATCATTTAAAAATATGTTAAGGTATCATGCTCTTTCTTATCCTTGAGGATGGAATGTAATGTCATTTCAGTGCCATGGCACGGCAGTGGTTCAAATATTTTCGCATGGATGTATTCAGTGTCATCAACTTTCACCTAAAGAAAAGTTATCTCGTGGATTCATGCATTTCTTACTTTCACGAAGTAGTTTGTTCCTGCAACTACCTGACTAGATATTTGCAGAATATCATATTTCTGGGGTTTACGTCCAAGATGAGTTTCCAGATGCTTGTCCAGCTGCTAACATCAAACATATAAACTTCAGTTTTACCAGTTTTCCAAGTTTTTCTTTCTCTTCTGAAGAAGGTTCGCGAGCCGCACCAACACCACCGCACATTGGCATCTTAATTGAATTATATCCGAATAAACCGGCTACTGCTCAAGGACATACAATTTCGAGAGCCTTTGTTCTCAGCTGATATGAACAAATAGACTTCACCAAAATCTCATTTTACTTTTAATAGATGTCATATGTTTTCAGGTGATTATTTGAGTGAATCTGACTTACTTCTTCCTGCCACGTTTTCTCACTGCAGCTTCCACTGTCTTTCTAAAGGATAAGTAAAAAGTTTTTCATTTTCGATTCTGAATCCTGAGGGTTTTTCTCTGTTTATAAATATTTGGCTGATCGAAATTCTTATAAAATATATCCTGTCAACTAGTGAAATCCCTCTGAACACACGACAGGCAAGTTTAATGGAAAATTTATGGTTTGTAACAAGTTATTCAGGCTGTCGAGGCTTGTGAATGTCGTCTCTTGGGACAACCCCGCCCCCATAGGAATCAAAAATATTTTGGAAAATGCGGTTTTATAGGAAGAGAAAGGAAATATAAAGAGTGGGTGGATGAATGTTACTATTATTACTATTACACCAACTGAGCTGGATATGGTACTGACAAAAATATTAACTCACTCCTATAATTTTATGTTTGTTGGCTCATTGGCTTTCGCTTCTATTCTTTTAGTTCCTGCAGACTTTTCAAGCTTTTTGATTTATTTTGATGACTACCCGATCAAAATACCTGTTGTATGTCATAATCCATATATCTACCCAAGATACCGGGGAAACTTGTGAGCTTCTTACACCGCACGTCTAAATAGAAAGTGTGCCTAATTTTCATATTCACGAAGGATTTTTCTATAATACTGGGTAGGCAAGAAGCCCCATGGTAGACGTGTTAACATGAAAGCTAGATACACATGGATACAGAAATTTTATAAAGACGACTTCAGATAACCGGTTTTCTTCAAGTTACTACACCCAAACCAAGTCGTGCTTGTGCAACTGCAAGCAAAATCCGTTGACAACCCATGCACTTCTGCCAACCGCATACATGAAACGCCCAAACGACCTGTTGCTGTGGTATACTCAATCGGTTCTGGCACTTCTGCTACGGATTCGAGTTGTTTCGCTGCTCGCCTCAACTGGAAATAACACTTGCGATCGTCTTCCACGCTAGACATGTCTTTCACCACACGAATGGCTGATATATTAGCCTGGGACACTGCGACCTGGCGGGCAGGAGACTCTTAACAGGACAGGATATACTAATAAAGCTTATTCTAGGATACACTCAGTCAGAGACACAATTCACGGGACTGAGTGATGTAAAATAATATTACAACGAAGAAAGAAGTCAGAGATTTATTTTCTCTATCTCCGAAAAATCAAAACAAGGTTGTTTATTGGTTTCATTATTTAAAAGCCCATATCAAGCCAGCGAAAAGAAGCAGCACTGTCCTTGCGGCTAGCAATCGTATCCCAGAAAATATATTCAGCCGCTGCAGAAACTTCAATGCACATGGAAAATATTGAAAACAAACTTATTCCTCTCTGAAATCGGGGAGTCAAAGTGACGCGGTCTGGTGAAAGCCTTCAGGAAGCCAGTCAGTCGATATGTCTACTTTCGACGCGAATAAAAATAAGCATGGGGACGTGGAATATTCCCACAATGTACTACGCTATAAAGGTTTCTTGAGTAGCTACAGAAATGATAAAATATGTATTAGAAGTTCTGAGAATCTGCAAGAGCAGATAGAATGAAGTTAGACTATTTAAATTTTCAACTGGAGAGTCAGTGATCTATTCTGGTCATCCGGACGACAACCACGAACACACTGAGGCAGTGAGTAGCTATCATGATGTCACCAACAGCATCCAAAGGTCTTAGAGTCGGAACCAGTCTCCTTCGGGATTCTGACACAATGACTCAACTCGAAAGGAAGAAAGGTTTTAGTCACCCCATGCTATGCATCCACAAACAACTCAGAACAAGAAAAGAGGGGAGGTTTCCACAGACAATTGCAAACAGTAATGAACAACATTTCAAATGGTGACATCAAACATCCAGATCTCTATCCGGGAAGGGATCAACGCAGATGAAGCCTGTAAAAGATGTTCAAGGGAACCTAATTACTAACAGGGAGAGACGAACAAAACAATGGGCTGACCACTTCAAAGGACCCCTGAACCGACCATCACCTGCAACTCGTCCAGAAATACCATCAACAGCAGGCATAGTTCTGCCAGTGGAGACCAATCCTCTAACAAAAGCAGATGTCTTGAAGCAGTCTGGCTACTTAAAGCCAGGAAGGCATCAGGACCATTCGGAATTCCTCCTGAAGCAGATGCCGAAGCGGATATGCTGACGTTACTGTCGCAAGACGTCTGGAGAGAAGAATATGTACCCACTGGTTCGAGGAGAGACTACCTTGTTTAATTGTCAAAGTAGGGTGACTTAGGCCCCAGCAAGAACTGGTGTGGAATCGCGCCCTTGTCCACGCGGAGCAAAATATTGAAACTGAGAGATGCCCTGGATGCGGAGCTCTGCCCAGGACAAGCAGGATTCGGGAAAAGCAAATCATGTGCTGGTCAAGCTGCAAGTATGCGCATCATTATTAAATGGTAGTCAAGTCTGTACCTCTGTGGTGAGAGATGGTTGCTAGCCAAATTGGTAGACAGTAATTGACGTCAATGTTTATGTCTCAAATATTAGTCATGTGGAAACAAGGTCAAAGATGGACGGCAGACTTTGCGTAGATGGATACAGTTAGCATATAGATGATTTGACACAGCCACAAAGAGATGCAAGGTTAACTTTCTGTGAGAAACAACCAATCAAAAGACTGTATTTTCTACTAACAATAATCTATAATAATGTACATTAAAATCTATAAATATGCGTTGATTTTCCTCAATAAACGATCTGTTGCCTGACTCTTGCCTTCTGTCGTTACAATTGGTGTCTCTGCCTCCGAACAATGAAGATCCCATGGCCAACTGCGTTTGAAGAAGCAGACATACAGAGCTTCTTACGTGACTTCGGGGCCATTGCTGAGCTGGTGGGTGTCAAAGAGCAGGCGGCGAAGGCGGCATATGACAGCGTAGAGAGGTCAGATGGCACAGCGTCATGGAAGATATTGGTTGAACGATTGGTGTTGTAGTTCAACAGTCCAACAGACAGACAGCTAGCAATGCAGCAGTTCCGTTCAACGAAGCTGGGACCTGATGGAGATCCGTTAGTGTTGGCGGTAAAATTGACCAATCTACTTCGACGTGCGCTTCCCACTGTGGATGAAGAATCAGAGTCGCAGTTGCTGAGTTCCCAGTTCATTGAGAGTGTCCCAGACCACATTTCTCAGCAATTACAACTGGTTAACGCTACGCAGCCAATGGATATTAGTGAGCTTGCGAAGTTGACCAGACAACTCTAGCTGCCATAGAACAACCAAAACCAAACGAATTCGAGCAGAAAATTGAAGCGTTGCAGCGGGAAGTGGCGGCGTTAAAGTTGGGTGACAGGGCAGATAGGTGTTTTGAATGCGGTAAGCCGGGACACTGGAGGAGATACTGCCCAGAAAGGCGAAAAAGAAAAAGTTTCAGCCGGTATAATACGTGTTCTTTTCTCTTATAAAACTGGATGTAGTGAGGGCTATCGAGAAAGGGGCTGTGTATTCGAAGTTGCGAGTGAATGATCAAGAAGTAGTATGTTTAGTAGATACGGGGGCGGCTGTCCCTCATAGATAAGATCTTATGTACGAGTGTTAGTCCATGTTCATTAACAGTACAAACGGTAGGTGGGCGCGTATTACGTATCACGGGTAGATCGAACTGTATGGTAGTGGTTGGCAGCTGCGAGGTGCCATCTCCTTCATTGTTGTGCCCGAATTACGACGGACCATAATGGGCGCGGATTTTCTGTGGGAGATTGGTGCGATAATCGACACGCAAGCGAAGGTTGTGATCACGGAATACGGACGTATCAGCATGTATGAGACCAGCGAGATAGCAGTGGTTAAGCTGTCGAAGGTACACAATATCACAAAGTTAATTAATAAATACGATCATCTGTTTACTGGAGATGGGGACCCATACGGTTATTGCGATAGGGTGAATCAGGAAATTCCTTTAAGTGGCCCGAAAGTAACGTCATTTACCACGCGAAGAGTTCCATGTCATTTAGAAGGCGAAGTTGAGCGACAGGTGCGAGAGATGTTAAAAGATGATTTCATTGAAGAAGCTGATAGCCCGTACGACTCTCCAGTGCTGTTAGTAAAAAAAGCGAATGGGAAGTATAGATTCTGCGTTGATTTTCGACAGTTAAACAGTATAACAGAGTTAAGACCGTGTGCCATGCCAACAGTGGTAGAAACTTTAGATCGCCTACAAGGCGCAAATTTGTTTACGGTTTTCGATCTTCGCTCAGGATACTGGCAGATACCGATAAAGCCAGGTGATAGAGATAAGACGGCATTCATCGTGGGTCAGACACAATATCGATTTAAACGCATGCCGTTTGGACTAGCAGGAGCACCGTTCACGTTCAGACGACTGATGACGCTATTACTTAAGAACTTGAAAAACGTTGAGGCGTACGGTGATGATCTCGTCATATATAGTCAAAACGAAAATGATCGTGTGAACCATGTGGAAGCCGTGCTGCGACGCATTGAAGAGTTTGGACTGCGCGTCAACAAAACCAAGTCTCAGATAGCCAAAAAGAATGTAACTCTTTTGGGACATAAAGTGGGAAATGGTGAGATTAAACCACTACCGGAGAAAATCTTGACGATAAAGACGATCCCGGCCCCGAATTCAAAGAGAAAATTGAGACAGTTCTTAGGTAGAGCAGCGTTTTATAGTCGCTTCGTGAAGAACTTCAATGAGATAGCAGCCCCTCTGTACAGGCTACTAGGTGAACCGAAGTTTGTTTGGTCGGAGGAATCGCAGAAGATATTCGACAGGATTAAACAGCTGCTCGACCACCAACAAATGACACTAAAGCCACCTGTACCTGGAAGGCAGTTCACAGTGTGTACAGATGCCAGTGACTACGCCATAGGTGCGGTCCTAAGGCAGGGTGAGGGAATCGTCGAGTATGCCAGTCGGGTTTTGACGCACACAGAGCGAAAGTATTCG